CGGGGGCGGGAGTCGGCATAGCCGAGGGCAGGCGTGGGGTGCCCAAGACCCGCAGAACCGGACGCTCTCCGAATGTTGCCCCCGTGCTGTGGCCCTTGCTTCGGGCTCTGGCGCGAGCACAGCAGCCCCTTTGTTAATCGTACACAAAGTAATTCGAGCCCCAGCTCCGCTCTTCACATCACTGAATCATCAAGGTTGGAAAAGACCTTTAAGATCGTCAAGGCCAACCACCAACCCAACACCCCCATGCCCACTAAACCGTGTCCACACGTTTGTTGAACGCTTCCAGCGGTGGTGACTCCACCACCTCCCTGGGCAGCCTGTGCCAATGCTTGACCTCTCTCTCCGTAAAGAAATTTTTCCTAATACCTACTCTAAATATTGTGCTTGTGCGGGGAGCAGAGGTATGAGCCCCGCCCAGCAGGTCACCCAAGGGGACTCGGTGCCCCTGCACGGCACAGAGCAGCACCCGACACGGGGGACACCAATGAGGCTGAAACCCCTCAGGAAAGGGGCAGCTGTACCCGGCCTCCATCCATGTGACAAACAGGCGAGACATCCAAGATGTCCAACATTTTGGACACCTGACGTAAAACGAGTAGGGGACGCAGACTGACAGACCCGCACGCCTCACCCCAGAGCAGACCTTCCCGCTGGGATGCGCTTACTGACTGAGCGCGGCTCTAACCGTATTCCTCATGGGGCATTTCCATGAGCAGCACTTCAGCCACCACAAGCCCCGGTGAAGAACAAGGGCCCAGCTAAACTCACCCGTTCTCCTGGCTCCGAGCTTCTAAGGATGGAGACGGGGGCACATCAGCATGCGCGATGCCGCGCCACATCACACCCGCTTCTCCCTGGGGACCTCATCCAACAGCAGACCTGCTTGAATCATTTCACACCTTCTTGAGTTTCAGCTAGCAAAAAGGCATTTCAAATAATTTTTCCCCTTTTGAAAAGGCTGGTCCCTTGCGGACGACTCCACAGCAAGGGCGTGAGGAGGAACTTGCCTGGCCTCGGTCCCAGTAAATCACAGTTCAGAGACAGCTGAACTCCATTTTGTGATTATTAACCCCAGCCCTGCTCCATTTGTTTGGCCTGTCTGAGGCTATATATAGTGATGGGAGTAGGCATGGCCAGAGGAGAATTGTGTGCAGCTGTTAAGCACAGACCCCCACCTTTCCAAAAAAATTATATATTAAAAAAAAAGAAAAGAAAAAGTTAAATAAAAAAAAACACCAGCAAAACAGGAAGACTATGGCTGGGAAATGAGAAGCAGCTGTAAAGAGGAGGGATGAGATATCGTACAGGGAGGCCTGACTTCAAATCTTGCAGGAAATGTATGAGAAATTTCACAGCCACTTTTCTAATCTATCATCCCACCCATGTCCCACGGTGGGCTCCGGCGGCAGACTGTGGGCGCCACAGGTAGGAGCATCTCCAGGGTGGACTCAGCAGGAGACCTGCAAAAACGGCCATTCGCTCTCGTATTGCCATCAACAATCTCTTGCCGTGCCTTCGTGACAGATCCTAACCGCCACAGATAGCTGAAATCTCGAGAACAGGCAGGTGCTGGATCAAGCGAGCTCCAATACCGATTCCGTGCATGCCTGAAACGCTTAGAACAAGTAGTGATGAAAAACCCCGAACTACACGTACCTAATACGTAACCGAGGTGCTAAGGGAGGGAAGGAGAGGATCGGGATGAAAAAGTAGAGGTGGAGAAACGTGGAGGTGCCTTGCTGAAACCGCTCTCCCCTTCCTGCTCTCACGAGCCGGCGGCCTCTTGGCACGGGTCAGCGGAAGATGCTGCCGTTCCGCACTGCGATGCGTTTTGGAGCTGCCGAAGAGGTATGCACCAGGCGAGCCGATGCTGCATGAGCAGTCCACACACAAAAGCTTCCCTTTGGCTTCTGCATCAGCCTGAGAAACACCTAATGACTAAAAAGAAACGCTTATAACAGCATCCAGGGCTCTGAACTTTTAGTGCCAGGCATAGGAAATTTGCTTCTCAGTGTGCACATGCAGCAGAAACCTGCTGGAGCTGTAGATGCATTTAGTTTGGGCAGATCCTGCTCTAAAATCAATGCCAGCGTTTTTCACAGAAGGATAACCTACCTGGCTTTTGCTGGGTGCATGTTTCCGTAGGCATTTGTACTATTTAATATCAGTTTATTTAAACTGATTGTTTTCGCCTCTAGACTTTCCCCGGGCAGATACTTCCACAGCCAAGTGCATCTCACTGCAAAACAGCTTTTATCTGACTCGGTCACACTTCCCTGGGCACGGGCTTGCTCCTGGCCTCTTTCCATCAACCTACAGACATCCCCGACTCCTGTGACGACCAAGTGCAATAAGGGAGCCTCGCAGACTCGAGCCTGAGCCCCCTCAGCCGGGGGCATGACAAAGCGGCCATCCCTCCTACATGGCCTTCTGCCACGTTCCTGGAGGAGTTCAGAGGTGGAAAGAGCTTTGTCGGGGAGGAAAGACCTTCCCTGTCCAAGGGAGGATGACTTCGAAGACCTGGCACCCGCTAGCGTGGTACTGGCATGGAGGAGGCCCACTGCTGGCCTTTAACCTTTTGGCTTTTCAGCAGTTTTTCTC